AAACTTAACCTTTTTTTGCTAAATTTAGCCTGCAGAGACTTCTTGTACCTAGCTCCATATCCTGTTGATGCCCAGAGTCATGTACATTCTGAGTAAACATGCTTAGTGGTCTGTCAGAAGCAGAGAAATAGCCAGCCACATCCTACATCTCAGAGCTCAGCTACTGCATGTGGCTTTGCTTGTTCCTTCACAGGCGTAGACCTGCATATAACACAGTGCAGTGAAACTAAAAAAGACCGTTGGTGACTTTCAAACAAACTACTTGAGAGCAGTTACACATGAAATATGTATTGTAAACATTTCTGAACAGCAACTCCCAACGCTCTTTTGTTTGTCAATAAATGTTTGCATGTTGCTCTCAGTGACTATGGCAAGAAGACCTTAATCGTCTCTTGAGCAATGAGACATATGTTATGTACACATCCAGTGACTTTTATTGATACTGCACAATAGGAAGTGCAGGACAAAATCTGCCAGCTTTTACATTTCTTGCTGTTGTGATGAGTGAAGTGAGATTTTACATAATTATAGATTTTAGCCAAATTTCTTTAATTTAAAATACCCTCAAACTATACTGCTCTTTTGTGTTTGTAGTCTTGTGGCAATAAGAGAGCTCTTTATTCCTCAGGAAGCTCAGGTCCTTTGACGTCTGCGGTGAAATGCTGCACATGTTTTATCAGTCAGTGGTGGCCAGTGTACTCTTTTATGCTGCAGTCAGCTGGGGCAGCAGCATGTCCCACATGAACACAAAGAGACTGGACAAGGAGTCTGGACTCACTCAGGACTGTTGTGGAGAGATGCATGCAATGTAAGATGGAGGCCATCTTGGACAATACCAACCATCATCTGCACAACTTTCTGGCAGGACAGAGAAGCAGTTACAGGTGCAGCAAATGTCTCATCTCATCTCACTGCGCTGCAGAACAGAGAGGTTCAGGAGATGCTTTGTTCCCACTGCCATCAGGCTATACAAAACCTCCACCAAAGGATGTGGACTAATCTAATTATTGTTGTTTATTTATTATTAACTGTTTTTATTATTATTATTATTATTATTATTATTATTATTATTATTATTATTATCAACAATAAGCTAATGGACACATGAAGGGGGATAAATAAAGTATCTATCTATCTATCTATCTATCTATCTATCTATCTATCTATCTATCTATCTATAAGTTCTCAGGCATACTACAGTGTGGTGCAAATCCTGTACATTGAATAGGTTGGGGTATACTCGGCTCAGGCCTAGTTACACATTTCACTCAAGTGACAGCATGTTGAAGGTTCTTCCTCACATGCTTCACATTTATCTACTAATGCCAATGACTGTAGATACACAATAATTTAAGAGTAATTTGAAACTGAAGCTCAGAATAATCACTTTCATCTTGCACGCTCACATCCTCTCCTTGCTTGTCTCCATGATAAGAAACTTAGATGTTCTTCCTAAGTTTATTATTACAGGGTGGAAAACATCATTATAACATTTTAAATCAGTGTTAGTGTGTTGTTGCTATATGTGTTAGTTGTTATTTGTATTTTCAGAAAAAGAGACAGATGGAAGTGTGTTACTTCAGCCCAGCCCTATTTATCAAACATGTAGGTACAGAGTCTTGCTTCTCTCTTAGTTTCGGAGATGAGAGGTGACATCTACTCTGAAGTGGTATGGCCCACCAATGGACGTGTGTACAGCAAGCTTTTATCATCAAAGCGCAAGGTTGGCTACTGCTGCTTTTAGGTGTGAAGAGAGAGGAAGGAGCTTCACAGGTCTATTTATTAATTTTTTTTACTCACAAGGAATCCTCAGCAGTTTTACTTCATTTACTGTCCTGAATGTGATATAGTGAATGTGAGTTCACCATGGACAAATTTCTGTGTAGACCTCATATGATGCAGCCTTTGTCTCCCAAAATCTTTGGTTTTACAGGATGATTACCTATCAAATAGTTCCCACCACAGTAGTATTTTCAGTAACTATTTTCATGAGGATACTGTCAATTCACATCAAGCTGATGACTTGAAAAGATGAAAGCCAAGAAATCAAAATATACATTAACATGTATGTTAAACGTAGGCCTTTTTGTCTTACTGTGATGGTGCAAGACTTGTTTTGTCGTTTTTCAAAGTTGGTCATGTGTTACACTCTTACAGTTGTTTGCAGGTGGGAATCAAATGACGGATCTGTCCTTGCAGCTCCTTCAAGTTGGTCAGTCTCATTGACGTTGACTCCCTATTGACAGCTTCCCTTTACTACACCATACGTTTTCGTTTTTTTTAAATAAAGAATTTATGCTTATGCTTTATGCTTGTCAGACTTTCATTTCTGTCTTTCATATTTCCTTACAACATGAAGAATATATGTTTTCTTAGCCTTGTCTTGTGATTGTCAGAAATGATGAGCCTGTCTCTTCATGTAGATGTCACGTATTGCATGGTAGATCATTTGATGCATGTGCACGTTGACCTGGTTAGCAAGCAAGTGTGGTCAAATTAGGCAGTCTAGAAAGTTCAAGGTAATGTCACAGCAACAGATATTCAATTTTCAAAAACATCCCTGTGAGAGACAGAAGTGACAGCTGACTCTGGTACAGTTTGTAAATTAAATTTAAATTTGTTCTTCAATAATGTTTTTAATACAACCCTAGTGTACATGGAGAGGTTAAATTTACAGGGCCATGGTGCATTATGTCCTTCCAGTGAGGTGACTTATAATGCTATCCATTTAATAACAAGACTAAGAGTCTACAGTCATGCCAACAGTGAGACAAGGTACTGCTTTCGGCTATATGCTAGTGAAAGCATGCTAACATGCTCAAAATGACAAAGCTAGCATTCAGATGTTTAGCACGTAATGTTAACCATCTTAGTTTAGCATGTTAGCATGCTAGCATTTTCACAAAACACAGAAAACTCTTGAGGCTGATTCTCAAGAGTACAAGACAAATTATCTATTATTTAATTTTGACCTGATGGTGGTGCTAGATGAGAAGTTAGAGAATCACCAGGATGATTTAGGTTTTTCCTGAGGGGGACACGGGTGTGTGCATCAAAATGAGCGTATTGTAGCAGTCCACCCAATTGAGTTATTTTACACAGAACCACGAGTGTCAGTCTCATGGTGGCAATGGAGGTAAGTCAAGGGATCACCATGGTTGTTGAGATGCAACTGTTTGGTACCATGAACATCAGTACAAAATTGGTTCAGTAGTTGTTGAGACATGACTCACTAAATGAAAGCTTTAAGAGGAAAAGTCAGGGGATTCTCAAAGTTGGTATCATTCATTATTTTGGGGGACAATCTGTCTAAAATATAATGACAATCTGTCCAGCAGTTGTAGATATATTTCAGCCTGGATCAAAGTGGTGGACCAACTGCTTGTCCAATATTTCCATCTCTAGAAACATGCTGCTGCCATGTGTTAATATACTGATGGATGTCCAGTCTCTATTTGGGACAAGAAAAGCTGTTGCTCTACTACTGACTTTATCTGACTGGATAGTCACTAATAATGTACACAAATGGTTTTCAAACTAGTTTTAAATACTGTAAACTGTAGAAAAATGTCACTTCTATCTCAGGCTATGATGGATTACGAAATATATAGCACAAATTCAAAAGGTGTCAACAGTATGACCAAGCTGTGTTCCACATAGCAACATTAAAGCATACGTTTGCAACAGTTAGTGCAATCTATGAACATTTGTGGTGGACTTTTTTTTTCCCCCTCCATCATCACTTCTCACATTTCAGAGAATTGCTCAAGACGTTGTGGCTTCTTTCATAGACGAACTTTACTGTGAATGCTCAAGCACAAAAGTCATGTCAGAAAAAACATGTTAATTATTGGTCATGGACCTTGTGGGAATCAAATGAATTAAGGGTTTGTAATTCATTTTAGCTCAGAGATCAAAGTTTTAGATCTCTGCATACTTCAAAGGAGGGTGACGGAAGTTCAGACTGCCGTCCTGTTGACTGAGTGTTGTTTTTACTGTTGATGGGTCCTGTCACATTGACTGGAAGATGGCCAGTGAGAATAGACTCATAACACCTTCTTATACTCATAGCACTGTCTTGAGGAATTTAGTATCATGTCATTGGCAAAATCATGATGGACTATTATCAGTGGTGGAAGAAATATTCAGGAAGATTATTTACATGGGTAAAAGTAGCAATAACACACTGTAAAAAATACTCCATTACAAGTAAAAATATACATTAATGCACAAAAATGTATAAGTTATCAAATCTTTTAAAATCTAAAAAATCTAAATATGAAAAGTAACTGGTAACTATAGTTTATAAAATTATAAAATATAGTGGAGTAAAAATCAATGAAATGTAGAAGTAGTAGTTGTAGAGGTATTTAGTAAGATGAAATGAAAATAATACAAATATCTCAAAATTATACTTAACTATGTTACCTGCGGAAGCTCCATCACATCAGTTTGAGAAAGACTGTTTAAACTGACTCAAAATGAAACCTCAACACTTGAGTTTGGTCCATATAGTTTAACATTATAGTTAGTGAAATTAATTTGAGTCCTGTAAATGTCCTGAATTAAATTTGAATCTATATTTAAGATTATATTTATCTTTTGTTACCTAAGACTACTACTAATATAGATAATAAGTGATTAGTAATTATTGTTGCATTAATAATTCAAGATGAATAAAAACAGAGATCTGCAGAAGCTACAACGCCAGCTGTGTGTCTTTTGCCCAGTTATGCCTCACTTCTGTTCTTGATCAAGTTGAGTTATATCTAAAATGTACTATTCAAATCATCACTATGTGCTAACATCGCAAATTGGGCATCATAAAGAAATTAAAATGTACAGCTAGAACAAACTATACAGCTGATTCTCTGAAAATGGATCATCAGTGTGCTAAATTTTACAGGAAGTGCATTTTCTATGCTTCAGCCAATCACTATGATTTCCACTTTGTCAACTTTGATTACCTTGTGACTAAATCTTTCATTTGAGTGGGAAGACATCAGTTGTGCAAGAGAAGGGCAGTGATCACAGCAGCACAATGATCGGAGGACTGGTTGCTTTGATTCTTCTAAGTGCATTGTGTGAGTACAATTTTTATCCACTGTAAATTACTGCTAATTGATTGTATTTTGTATCAGTGTTTTTTATCCTGTCATGTTGTAATTCTATTATTTTTTGTCTCTTTTCTTTAGCTGTGATTCAAACTATAGAGGTTCCTCACCACATCTCTCTGACTGTGGTTGAACCCGGTGATAATTTGACTCTGACATGTATAGTCATTGGGAAGGAAATCGGGTTGTTTTACTGGTACAAGCTGAACTTCGGATATATGATCCAAACAATTGCTTCAGGATCTTTCACTAAAATAACACTTCAAGGACAATTTAAAAACCCAAGATTCAATGTCACAAAAGAGGGTGATCTTCATTCTCTTATCATAAGAAATATAAGCAAAGAAGATGAAGCAACATACTTCTGTCAAGCAGGAGCAGCATATCTAATGAAATTCATTAATGGCACAAATTTGGCGGTGAACGGTAAAGTATGCTCATTTCAGTGTCTTTCCTTGCTATGACTTCAATACCCAAACAACTAAAGTTAATTTTTTTCATGCCCTTTTGTGAATCCCACAGATCATAAAAATCAGCAGACACATGTCTATTTGCATCAAAGTCCAGAGACAGCATCAGTCCAGCTGGGAGCCTCAATGACTCTCCAGTGTTCACTTCTCTACACGAACAAAGAGAGCAGAGCCCAGTGTCCAGGTGAACACAGTGTGCACTGGTTCAGAGCTGGATCAGGAGGATTTCATCCAGGCATCATTTACACTCACAGCAACAGGAGTGATGAACAAGAGGAAAGGAGCTGTGTCTACAGTTTGTCCAAAACTATACAGAACTCCTCTGATGCTGGGACGTACTACTGTGCTGTGGTCACATGTGGAGAGATCCTGTTTGGTGAAGGAACTAAAGTGGAGACAAGTATGTTTTTGAAGTCTTATAATTAATTCTATTTATTATTATTCTGTTACTTTTCGAGTCCAGCGTTGATAATAGTAAAGGAAGACTAAAACATTTCTCTGCTCCGCAAAATTACAGTAGGCTATTTTCAATTTTAGGACATTTATCATTGCCTTTTTTGTAAAATACTGGATAGTTTTTTATCTCATCAGGCATTGAAAAATGATTCAAATTAGATCTGCTTGAAGTGCTCAAGGTTGGGAAAGAGGAACCACTGCATTAATTTAGACAGTTCACATGCGGCAGACTTATGTCAACACATATATAATACAGTTCTGTCTTGAGTGGGGTTTTGGCTGCCTCTGCTTCTTTTCCTCTCTTTGTTCTTTTTGTTTGCTTTTGTGTGTGTGTGTGTGTGTGTGTGTGTGTGTGTGTGTGTGTGTGTGTGTGCGCGCCATTTACCTTCATTTCCTGTGGTGCTTCTTGTTCCATCGAGGGCCCTGTTGATTCTTCATGTTTTCTTGTGCAGTCTATATAAATGTGGTTGACTGTGTACTTGAGGTGATGGTAACAGTCAGATCAATCCAAACAATCCAACAGAAAAATGCCATAAACCACAGCCTAAAAAATTGCCACAGAATTAAATTTTTGACACATTCTACACCTGATTAGCATTTCAAAGCTTGTCTCACTGCATGGAATTGTAAAGTGTTGCCGTTTCGTGTTCTCACCTGTGGTACTGTTTTCTAAAAATGAGCAACCCTGTTTCCTAGAAAAAAGCTGAATGAAACACCACATGCAATAACTGCACCAAAGTCACACAAAGCACACGACTATCCCATCAGACATTGCATTGATTGCATTCTGATTCTCGCCTGTGCTTAGGTTTAAACAACAAACTGCTTTGGTTACACAAGACCACGATCTTTCTCTGACCCTAACCAAATGCTGTGAGTGCATAAACATAACCATAAAAAAGTTTAATAACCTGCCTGTATACCTGTATAAAACTTACCTTAACCCTCCTGTTATATTGCTGGTCAAATTTACCCCTTTTAAAGTTAAAAAATCTAAAAAAAAATAGTTAAAAGTATTTTTTCTGTCCAGCAGTTGTACACACACACACACACAAACACACACACACACACACACACACACACACACACACACACACACACACACACACACACACACACCCTATTCTCTCATCTGTAAAGCGTTCCGTCAGGCAAAACTGTCTGCAGAAAACATAATAAAGACAGTGCCAGGGCCCACTAGGATGGCACTGACTCGTGTGACAGACATCAAGTCAGCTTTTGAGCCGGTCATGCCCAACTCAATACAGAAAATCATTCTCGAAATGACTAATCTAGAAGGAAGGTGTGTTTTGGGGTGGAAGTGGAAGGAGCAGGATAAAATGCATTTACATGCATATTTGGGGGTCCTCATCCTGGCTGGGGTCTATAAGTCAAAGGATGCAGAGACAGGCAGGGCTATATTTCGTGCCACAATGTCTCTGGAGACTTTTCATATTTTCTCCAGAGTAATCCGATTTGATAATCGAGAGACAAGGGCTGTCAGACGGGAGAGAGACAAGCTGGCAGCTATTAGGACAGTGTGGGAAAAGTGGGTAGAGCAACGTCCACTACTGTATAACCCAGACCCTAATGTCACAGTGGATGAACAGAAGAGGTGTCTTGTGTTAATTTATCAACATCACTCCATAAAATTTTTTTTTTTAAAAATGTAAAATAAAAATTAAAAAAAATCAATGTCATGTGTATTTTATATGTAGGTCTTTCCAAAGTACATTAAAAAAGTTTTAACATGCATTTTTTTATGGAAAAACGAGTGAATTATCCTCATTGAACCATGATCTGTGAGAGGTAAAGAACACCATTACACTAAATATTGATTTAAATGGTTAGTAATGGAGTTAATAATGAGGTATAAACAATGTTTATTGGGATTTTTTGGTTTCTTACACTTTTGGATAATTAAACATGCCCCGGGTCAAATTGACCCAGGAACATCATTGCTGTTCCTGAGAAACGAACATAACAACCATTTCTTTCTCATATCAGGACAAGAGCTGTGCCCATCTGACATTGCACTTGGGATACTGCTGCCTTGCTATGTCATTGTGATTGCTATTCTAATTCTCTCCAGAAAGCAAAAGTCTGTTTGTGAACATTGCAAAGGTATGTTCATTGTGTCTATATGGATTATTTGATATTTTAACAAAGTCAGCTGGCATTTTTTTTAAAAATAGGAGTTATTGTGGTAAGTAGTAAGGTCTCATTTCATGGGATTATATTAATAGGTTCACATTTAAATCAGCATCTGAGCTACTTTATACTGCTCATCTAGTCACACTCAGTAATAGAATAAAAGCTAGTGAAAGGTTAATATGTTGGGTTGTGACCAGCTCGTGACTAGATATTTGGTGGTGTCGAAGCTATGAACATTAATGTGAAACAATAACTGTGTTGTCAGAGTCGAACACACTTTATTAATGTCTTGTCTTTATGCACAGGAGAAGTAGCTGCTTCCAGTTATGCTGAACATAACAGATCATCTGAGGATGTGGTAAATATCTAAATATCCAATGCATGTCTAGACTTGATGATGAATGGTTGGTGTACTAGAGGCAGGTTTCAATATGTGGTTAGGTTCAGGCAACCTAAAATTGTGGTTTTGGTTAAATGTAAATGCATATATTGTGTTTGAAGTCACAGTGAACTTTGTCTGTATTAGCCAGACCACAATCTTTCCCTGAACTTAACCAAGTGCTATAAGACTGTAAATATAATCATAAAAAAAAAAATCTAACAATGCTGCAGTTACTACAGGTGGATATTACACTGAAGGATTGAATATTTAGTTGGAAAACAAATTAAATAGGTTGTCAGTCAGCATTTTACTGATATCAACATTTTTTATTACTTGCAGGTAATATGGCCATTGTTATCTTTCCTTTAAAATGTATTTGTTGTTGCAATTTAAAATGTGCCAAAGCTTTTGATATGCAAAGTAGAAACAATCAATTAACTGCTTCTGCCATTATCCTCTAACCTTCAATCATAATTACCGCTTGCAGGATGGTGAAGCTGCGGCATTAAACTATGTAGCGCTGGATTTCTGCTCAACAAAAGGTAAACGATGGAAGGATAACAGGGGTTTACCACAGGACAGTATTTACTCGGGCATGAGAGACTGTCAGTGAAGTGCTGTCCCCATGAAGAAGAAACAAATTAATATGTACAGTGTGTACTCTACTGTACATTGCCACATAAAATTATTTTGATGCAGCTCTAATTTCTGTTTAGGTGAATTAAATGAGATGAAGAAAGATTTTTGCTGTAATGTTATTGCTAATTGTTTTATCCATCAGATTAGTTTAGGATAGCCAGACCACTTGTGTTTTGATGTGATGTTGCGTATTTAAACTAAGAATATTTTTTATTATTTGTATTCTTATTATTATTGCTTGTCATATTGATCTTGTGTAATCACTCAAAATCTGAAGGAAGTATGAATAATGTAAAGAACCTTTGCTGCCATTAAAGAGAAAATACCATGTTCCATGTTCTCTATATTTTGATATGAGACACTTGTATGAATAACCCAGTGACTGGTTGATGCTCGAGGAGCTCAGAGCCACAGCTGATCTTGGAAAAACGGCTTTTTCTGTTAGTAAACCAAACGAAACTATGGTATGGTGAACATATCTGACCTGTTACTTGATAAATGCTGTTTAGTAATCATGTGAAATCTGAAAGATTTTAAATTATACCTCAAAAAGTAACACAACATTTCTCATATTACCAAACATTAAACACATGCACGCACGCACGCACGCACACACGCACGCAGAGCCTGAAGTTGCCATGAAGCTGCAATAATTCATTGTTTTGGCCAGTTGGGGACAGATATTGCTGTTTGGTGCTGTGCAAAAGACAGTGGAATTAGTATTTTGTTTCTGAAAACAGCTGCTGCTGGTTATTTGCCAAAGCAAAATACAGATGATATATACAGAGCTCGTAATATAGTAGCTGTTGATGAGAGAAGTTAGAAAATGTGTAAGCCAAAAGCAAGAGGCCCTAATAATATTAATAAATAAGAAAGGCCCTACATTATGATACATGTTATATTAATTGAGGAACCCGTGAAGCTGGGTTAAGCTGGGAGAATGCCTGCAGGCCCATAAACAGTATTTTGAAATGTAGAAATATTATTAAATCATTAATTTGTCTGAAACATGAAACCATGATGCCTTCATTTCAAGATATAGTTCAGGTGCTAAAAGGAAAATATTCCTATCTAACACCTATAGGCACAGGTCAAAGGTCAAGGTCACTCTGACCTCACAAAACACATTTTTGGCCACATGAGCACAACATTTCAGGAATCCCTTGAGGGACTCCCTAAAAATTTGGCACAAACTCTCACTTGGACTCAAAATTAATTGAGTAGATTTTGGTGGTCAAAGGTCAAAGGTCACTGTGAAAACACGATTTGGGCATAACTCAAGCATCACATATCTTTAGATAGAAAGTTGTTGCTATATTATTGTTTAAAATCTTGTTTACAGAACCTTTAAGTTTATTTTTTATTTTGCAGGAGTGAAAGTTTTTCAGTCTCAAAAAACAGTTAGACATTCTGTATTATATGCAAATAGAAAATCCATAGATTAATTTACACATGGAAAGCATGTGAGTTTAATTTAATGATTTTTCTTTGCAGCAATTTCAGATGAAGAGCCTCAGTAAATTTTGTGTTTAAAACAGTTAAAAATATTCAATCGTATGTCAGAAATGCGACAATAATATGTAATAGGCCTTGATAAATGTTTTCAATAATAATGTAATATTTAATTGCTGTGAAAGATAAATGTCAACACTATCTCAAGTAAAATGTCAATCAAGTTTATCAAAAATGACACTTTATTGCTCTATTTACCACTCTGTTCAATAGATGTTGAGATATTTCACAGGATAAGTGAAAAATCTGACCTGCTGGTGGCGCTAGCAGAAAGGCCACAGGAACATCAAAGTATGAAGTTTCATCCTCTCAGGACCATGAATATCTATACCAAGTTTCAAAGAAATCTATTTGGTAGTTGTAGTTCATTATGGACCAAATTGATTTGCTGACTGAAAAACATGAACAATCTCTAGCTCATTACATTTACTCCTTTATGTCATCTTTATTAACATTAAATGATTTAGAGAATGGATAATAATGAGAAGTACTACACCAAGACAAGACCAGTCTAACAGGAAGTGCACATTGATCATATATTCTGTGATAGCCAATCACATGCATCTGATGGTCTGACCTCACAATCATCTCTCCTCCTCCACTCACAACATCACCAAGAAGTTTCCAAATAAAGACAGTGACAAGATGATCCTGTTATGGGCTACACTGTTTCTCCTTCATCAAGGACGTAAGTGCTATTTAACCCAGGTGATATATTTTCTCATTTAAGTATTTAAGTATTTTTTTTTTTACATTTTACACTAATTGTCACTTATTGTTTCATGCCTTATGTGCTCTGACTTGATTCAGACACAATGGTTCCAGTGATCACAGTTCAACCTGGTGAACCTGCGACATTCTCGTGTGTTTTGCCTCGTGAAGATTTGAACAAAAGACAAGTCTTCTGGTACAAGCAGAGTGCTGGGGATACTCTGAAAATCATTGCGACACAGCGGAAAAGTATAAACCCGGTATATGGACCAGAGTTTTCTGCCTCAAGACTGGAAGTAAAACAAAGTAAAAATATCGTCAAGCTGACCATTTTGAAGACCGCTCATAAAGATGAGGGAATGTATCACTGTGCAGTCATAGATTGGACAGAAAATACTTGGACTGGGACCTATTTGTCAGTAAAAGGTAATTTATGATCAGCCCTGTGTTAATGTTTCTTAACTATTTTTTTAAAAATTACTTGATATGGTGTCACCAAGCATTTTCTGAGATGCATTCCAAATTCATCATACAGCACAGAATATCCAATTGAAAGTTTATGTTAGATATATTACTCTTACTTCTGGAGCACTTATTCCTAATTATATCTGTACCGTATTATGTCAAATCATTGTATGTTATGGTTATAAAAGTCCTAATATTTCAGAATGTGTGAGGAACTTCTATTCCAAACTTTCAGCACAGTTTTGTACCACTCAGGAAACTCTCAGAGGACATCAAACTATACCGTTGTCCAGTGGCCGACAGTATCTGATCCAGTCCATCCAGGAGACTCAGTGACTCTGCAGTGTTCAGTCCTCTTTGAATCTATGAACAAGACGTGCGCAGGAGATCACAGTGTATACTGGTTCAGAGCTGGGTCAGATAAATCTCATCCTAACATCATCTACACTGATGGAAATAAACTTGATAAATGTGAGAAAAGATCTGAGTCTCTGAAGAGCTGTGTTTATCGCTTCACTAAGAACATCAACTCCTATGATGCTGGGACTTATTACTGCGCTGTGGCCACATGTGGGGAGATCATTTTTGGAAATGGAACAAAACTGTGTCTGTCCAAGACTGGAGGTGAAATACAAAACATGTTGACAACATCATGACTTATGAGTCTCCTTCTCTTTCAGAAACATTTAATTTTTTTTTCTTTCTAGGGCAAAAAGCAAGTTCTGAAGTTATTGCGCTGGTGATATCAGTAGTCTGCTTGGCCATTTCTCTGATTGGAAATATTGTTTTCATCTGTTGCCGAACTCCAAGGCCAGTGAGTGAACAATTTAAAGGTAAGTGTTGTTATCTGAATCAAAAATCATAATACCACCATGGTTGTACTGGAAAAGTTCTTATCTCTGATGTAGGACGTGTAACTTCATATAGGAAAATCCTCATGTTCGTTGATAAGATAATAGAGAATTATTTTATTTTGCACAGTATTAATATTTAATGCCAATCACATTTGTAGGACATTTGTAGTCTCCATATCGGTGTTTGTTCCACGTGTCTCCTAAACTAATTAATTAATTGTTGTTCATTTTTAGGGTAAACACAAGAAACTTGTGCTGTAGAAAATGGACCAGACTCAGTGAATAGCTGCCTAAGTTTAACATCCTAAGTCCTATGATAACTATTAATTCAGCTATACAGACTAATGAGCAGTGATAACTAACATGTCTTTGGGGTCATCAGGTGGGAACCTCCTTTCACCAGTGTTTTGTCTAGTTGGTCCCACGACACCTCCAGGAGGCTAGACAGTGATCACTGGCGTCCCAGAGTCACTCCCCTAATGCCAGCCATCACTGCTCCTCACACCACAACTGTTTTCTCCTTTATCTTGCCTATGATACCACAAACAAAAACATCAACTCGGACAAAACTCGGACAAAACACACTAGCAGATTCAGCAAACAAACTCCCCTAACCAGTTGGAGAAAGTGGCGGCCATTTTGAATGAGGGAGGTAGAGTCAAGGAGAGATGCCTTTTTGAGCTAAACTCTCCCCCGCCGGATCGGGCTGTGCTCTACCTCCCCCTACTCCCCCACTCTCCAACAACTCACCTAAAGCAAACAAACTCACCTAGACAGTCAAAGACACACTACAGACCAATTCAAAGCAATACAAACAAACAATACAGGCCAACTCACCTGAACTAACCGCATGGTCTCAAAGAGGCTCACACAGGCCACACCCCCCACTTAAAAACACTTCCTCTTCCTGGATTTTCTTCCTTGCTTCTCCTAAGAGTCTGTCTATCCTAAGTGCTCCCCCTGCTGGGCCCCCAGCTACCATTACTTCTTCTCATCCAAATCCACTGACTGGATCTTACTGCCTCATCTGACATGTCCTTTACTATTTTCCTCACACTCTGTCCACTTTCTCCTAACTCCCTTACCAAAGAGACAACAGACCTTGCTACAAATCCTCTACATCCTACTTCCACTGGACAAATCCTAACTTTCCATCCTCGCTGCTCTGCTTCTGCCCCTAACTCTACATACCTGAGCTTTTTCCTTTCATATGCTTCTTCAACTGAAGCCTCCCACGGAACAGTCAGCTCTATGAAATATACTTTCATTCTACTCCTAGACCACAAGACTATGTCAGGCCTTAGCTTTGTACTGGCTATTTCCTGGGGAACAACAAGCTTTCCTCCTAAATCTACCTGCATTTCCCAATCACAAGCATCCTCTAAGCTGCCTTGCCTCCTTGCTGTCTTACCAACTTTCTCTCCCTCTTGAACAAACTTGATTGCAACTCTCTTTATTTTAGACCCTCCTAAATTTGCCTGCCTCCGTAAATCTTCAATTCCTGCAGCTAAGCTTTTTAAAACCTGGTTATGTCGCCACGTATACCGGCCTTGCGACAGACTAACCTTACAGCCTGACAAAATGTGCTTTGAAGTTGCAGTACTTGAACACAATGAACATAGCGGGTCTCCATTTACCCAGAGTTTTAGGTTCTGGGGAGTTGGCAATACATCATATGTTGCCCCTATCAAAAATCTAATGCTACTTTCCTCCATCCACAGCTTTTTCCAGCTAAGCTTTTTCTTAACTACACCTTCCCAA